ACGGGAATTTACGTATGTTGACGCAAATTTACCTACATTGACGCAGATTGTTATGGTTTGACGTAAAATGACGCGATACTACCTTCAAAAAAAGTTTCCCTATGCTGAAAATGGAAGAGCCAAGGCTACGTCACTGTTTTGCAAAGCCTGGCTGCTTTGCAAAGCGTGGCTGACTTACGTCTCGCTGCCGGTCTGCAGCAGGATCTCTATCGAAAATTTTGGTCCGCGGCAAAAATCGGTCCGGCGGACTGATTTTGGCCTCATAATTACTTGCCAAATGTACTGTAGTCCACATAAGCCAAAATCAGTCCGCTGAAATTTACTTTGCTGTGCTCAGCACACTTGGGCATCTTACGTCCGCAATAGATTTTGGCGGAAAGAACGATTCCTAAGCTTTTGCAGACGTGCATATGCTTATTATCTAGCCAATCACAATGATGTCCATGCTGAAGCCTGAATTTGCATACATCACCCTATATAACAGTTTAAAATCATATTTGAGGATACATACAAGAAAAAAAAAACCATATGAATGTGAACATTGTGGGAAGAAATTTACGAGAAATAATGAATTAAAATCACATTTGAAGGTACATACAGAAAAACCATATGAATGTGAACATTGTGGAAAGAATGAGAAATGGTGATTTAAACAGACATTTGGGGGTAGGCCTACATACAGGAGAACATGTCAGTGTGAACGTTGTGAAAAGAAATTTTAAAACAGTTTCAGTTTAAAAAACATTTGAAAAAAAAAATGCATCGAAGACAATTAAGTTTATTTTTCTACGGTGTGATTAATTGGGTTTCTATGATTGCAGAAAATCCCTAATAATCGTGAGAAACTTGTTGGAACTTAATTTTGACTATAGGTGATGTTATGTTGATGAATTTTTCTATATATAGAAACAGCCATCTAGTGGTACAATTTACTCAAATGTTCGTGCCTCATCCCCAACCATGGTGGGCTGAGATGGGTGTGGACTCATGGCTTTAAGTACTGTAGGTAAATACATAAAAAACAATGTTTTAAAGTTTTATTTTCTATGGCACATCACACATATTATTTAGATCTCTATGATTGCCGAAAGTTCTTGATTCTCGATTTATGCCACTAGCTTCTCGCCATGGATGATACCTGAGCAAATTACCACAAACATTTTGGATATAATAGATTTTAAAAACTTTAAAACTATTTTGACAAAATAACGAAAAGAGAGACATTTATTATTATTATGCAGAATTTACATTATAGGTGAAATTGGCCTTCCATAGAAAAAGTATTAGATATGATGTCACTAATACATAGAAAGCTATCTTCACAATGTTAAACTGATCTCCGCAGACCTTTAATTTAGATGAAACGAGTGTGCTAGGAGTATGATGGGTCGATGGTGTCCAAAATCCAAATACTCAGATGTCATGGTCCTTTGTATCGTGAACCTATACAATATTAAAAATAGGACCTCCACCAGTACAATCGGTAAACTTTAGTTTTCTGTAGTCCAGATTTGAATAATATTAAAATCGCCAATTAGTATAATGTAAATGAAGCGTACAACCGGACTAACACACCATGATTGCTTTCGTACGATACCAAATATATTAAAATTAAATCTTCCATGAGGGTACCGTCTCTTTCGGCCATGATGAGGGAAGTATATCTTTAACACTATCGGGCATCAGCTATCAAGAAGATACACTTTTGATCCCGAATTTGTCCTCTTAATAGAGGTTTTACTGTAATATATTTTCTTTATAAGTTTAAATATAGCATGTAATATTCATATTTATAACACATTCAATTTATATATATATATATATATATAATATATATATATATATACATATCCATCGTTATCTCTATTGTATATATATACATCCATCGTTATCTCTATTGTTAACATGTATATACTGTTTGCTGTAATATATATCTTTAGATACGGTGCTCGTACGCTGATGAAGGTAGCAGGTGCTACGGAAAATTTCGTCGTACCAATAAAATTCAACAATTCCAGGTCACTTGCAATGAAGGCCTAGTACCCCTGTCTCTTATACACATCTATATAAATGTCCGTAGGAAAAATATCACGCTCAAATTAAAAATACTTGTTTTGCGACCTATCGCTCCTCTTACTTAATCATGGAGCACCCCCACCCCCACACCACCTTCTCACCCATTCCAAGACTCTTAGAATTGGCACTGCTTTCTTAGACCAATATACCAGTCCACTAAAGATTGTGATCATTATGAAGGCTGAGTAATCATAACAGCAAGTACAGAATGTTAAGATATTAGTCATTTATTGTCATAAAAATATTTCTGAGTACACAGTATTTACAATTTATCTCTATTACAAATCAAAATTATGTCCTTACTTATTTATTCATTCATTTATAAATAAACACCATTTGACAAGGTTGGCTCATGCAGCACACATAAGTTGATAATTATGGTCCAAAGTCCTATCAATAGAAAAAAATAAAAATATGTATCTAGTATATTTTTTTGGGCACATAAACACAGAAGGTTGGTCTGAGACACCATTTCTGATGATGCGGAACTTTGGATTGCACTTCGAGGTGGGACGTAGAACGTAGTCGTAACGTTGAGAACGTTAAGGCTGTTTTCTACTAGGCGAATTTATTCGCGCGAATCGAAAGCGTCGGTTCGCTTTCTGAACTCTGATTGGCTGCGCATTTTTTTTCGCTTCGCAAACAGTATAAAAAGTTCGAACTAACCGTTTCGTTGAAGCGAAAACTCCGATAGAAATGTGAATGCACATGTACATTCGCGCGAATAAATTCGCCTAGTGGAAAACAAGCTTTAGGATCTGCGTTGGACGGTCACGCGTCGTCGGGCAAATCGAAAGCTTGCTCCCACCATGCAACAAGTCAGAATGTACAGTCCTGAAACCCCTGTTTTGTTTTGTAGGTGTAGGGGGAACCCTGGGGTTCAACTGAAAAAAGATTAATGTTTTTTTGGAAATCACCTCTACCTTAAATGTGTACAAAATGTCCTGCACGTCCCTTCAGAACTGGCGACGCTGGACGCTTTTAAATTTCTGGTAACTAGAACAAGAACAGCAATGAGGCGGACCCAAAAATTACACGGATTGGTTTTGCCGCAGAAAGGAGTAACACAAAACACGGATTATGCGTATTCGATTTCAATACACGGATTATCAGTAATTAAAGTGAGAGCAAACGACTACGGGTCATCCTTCAAATTTTCAATTCCGTAATAATTGAAGCATTTTCGATATTTATTTACGCATTACATTTGAATGATTACACTTGGATGAAAAGACAATCGACTGGCTAAGTATCATTATTATACCACTGGACTTTTAAGAACGAACAAACGAACAAAATATATATATATGTTTTGAAGCACCCAACTGTATAAAAGCTTTTAAAAACTGACATATTTCAAACCAATAGGCCTAAGCTATATAAAACAAACATGTTTCTCGTATTAGCTTCCTCATTATTGGTTATTTTAGGCTTGGGAAAGACTATGATATTTTTGCATAACCCGGACGAGTAACATGTTTATCTTAATCCTCTGTTAAAATATTATTGGTTATTCAATTATAATGTTTTAATATTATTATGTGTTATATTATCACAGTCACACCACCACCACCATCATCATCATCATAATCATCATCGTCGTCATCATCATCATTATCATCGTCGTCATCGTCGTCATCATCATCATTATCATCATAATCATCAATATCGTCATCACCATTATCATCGTCATAATCATTAATTATATTCATCTAACGTTATCAATTTAATTCAAACGCTAATTTCTCTGGTAGCTTATACTGTGACCTCTTTTTTTCCGCATATAGAAAACAGTACCAACGATAGCTGCAACTATCATCATGATGAGTAGTAAGGTGCAGACAACAGCTATTTTTGATGGCCCGGATTTAGTTGCTACATCCTCCTTGATATATGTCAAACATGGACCCCCTGCGAAAACAATTAAAAAAAAAAACACATTATTTTTCAATCTTTGTAACTCGCCGATTACAGAATGAAGTAATGGTTATAAACCAAGTTTCTTCATGATAAGGGTGTGGAGTTATTTTAGTCGTGAGAAAAATTCCGGCCATCACAGGAATCGAACCCAGGTCACTTGCAATGAAGGCCTAGTACCCTAACCAGCAAACTTCTGGGAGAGCGAGGACGCACACCGTCCTTCCAAAACAAAAAGCTTGCTCCCCCGTCGTTGCGTCGTCGTCGTCGTCATCATCATCATCATGATAAAATAATCCTCGTCAACTGCGTCATCATAGTATTATAAGTGTTGTTTGTTTAAAGTACCTTTTACTCATTACAAGTTTGTAAATGTATTTCATATGGCTTGCCGTATGACAATAAATGAAATCCGAATCATGTTCATCATCATCATCATAATTATCATCGTAATCATAATTAGCATCGTGTGCAATATTTTTATTACCATCTTCATTAATATTATTATAAAATTATTATAAAATGATTAATATTATTATTATTATTCATTAATATTGATATTATACAATTATTATTAATTATTGTAGGCCTACTCTAATATTGTAATACGGTGTATAAAAATATAGGAATCATTACTTGTTCCGTATCCATTATCTGGTACCCCGTGACTGAATGGTTGCATTTTTGCGTAGAACAGGGAGACAGTAAGACCATTAATACCCATCTTGTATTCAACCTTCTCACAGTCAATATAGCTACCAGTTGCGGCTATTGTATTAAAGCTAGATGTGGATTGGCGGTACCATTGCCCTGCAAGTCAACCAATTAACAATCATGTTAAAATAATGATCGACGACAGATAATGTCAAAGCCGCCCTGTAAATCAACCAATCAAACTTCATGTTGAATATAATGATCGATGACAGAGTGTAAGTTAACCAATCAAAATTCATGTTTAATATAATTATCGACAAGGAGGAGGACGGTGTCGATGGTAATGATGTTGCCAGGGGCGGATCCAGAGATTTCTTGACGGGGGGGAGGGGCAAAATAAGGTAAACAATCGAGCTCTTCTTTCTCCCACTGCTGGATCGCCACTGAATTCATGGGTGCTCTCCCTTCTTCCCCTTTTCCTCTCTTTAACTCACATTTTTTCCCTCTTTTTTATTTTTCGGCTTGACCGGGGGGGGGGGGATGCACGTGCCCTTATCCCCCTGGATCCGCGCCTGGTTGCAGTTGATAATGATGGTATGATGTCTGATGATGCTGATAATTGTCGATAATGTCGATGATGATAGCAATGATAATGATGAACAAAATGATGATATGTTGCTGATGGTAATGATAATGATATCAATGAGCAGAGAGGTAAATTGAGGAGAGTGGATTAGGAACTATGATGAGCGGCAATATTTCTATAAAGACGAACCTCCATGTTGAGCAGTTATCGGAAAGTGATCATCGATAACAAATTGCACGGTGGCGTTTTCAATTTTATATGTGTCTCCATAACTCTTGAAAGTAAGTGAGAATTCCCAGTGTTGCTTTACTTGGTTAGGATTGGGGAAAAACTTGAGGAGGAACGTCGCCACTTGTGAATTGCAGTGTGAACTCTCGGAATCTGCCTGGTAAGGTACGTCGATGTCAAGCTCGGCTGTCTGTTATTAGAAATACAATATACACAATAATTTCGGCAAAAGCTTTTAAATTAATACTATAGGTACGTCTGGGCACCATTATCATCATCATCACCGGGATCCAACTCTCCAAGAATTAAATTTAAAAAAAATAGAAAAGAAAGGAAGAAAAGAAAAAGAAAAATTTTCACCCAAAGCGCCCCCCAGAGGGTATTTTCTAGAATACCAAATTTTCGTGGGGGAATGGCCCCGGACACCTAGGGTATACTGTTATCTTGATCGGCCCCGCTTTCGGCCCTCCTTTTGGACATTTCTGGATCCGCCCCTGATTATCATTATTACCAATTATTATCAGTATCTTTATTATTATAATATCGATTATAATAATACATTATTAATGATAGATATGGTTAATAGTGGTACAGTTACATTTAAATAGGCCTACCTATTAAAACTAATATTCATAATATCCTCACCCTGCCGTCCATCAGTTTATATGGAATGGTTAACCGAGCCCCGAACGTCATTTTAATGCACTGTCCATAGCTCCACACTCCCTGTTGGGGTAAGGTAGGCGTAGATGCAACTCTTGTATAAGTAACTGAAAGAAAAGAAAAAGTACATAATGTAACAAACATTGCTGGATGGGACCACGCTCATAAAACCTTGTTGAAATAAATATAAACATTGCTCCACAACACATTATCCTACCGGTGATTATACTCTAAATAAAGCAGTAGTGGATTCTCCCATCTTTCAATCGGTCGCGGATCAAATTAATTTAAGGGTATGGCGCCGTTTTTAGAATGGAAACAGGGTAAGATTTAGGCCGCGTCCTCCCCTCCCCCCTCCACTTGGAAAGTTAAAATAAAAAGAAAAAAGAAAGAAAAAAAAAATGATGGCCTAAAACGCCTCAGAGGTTATTTTCGGGCGTCTAGAAAACAAATATTTGGGTGGCATGACCCGGATCCCCTTCGGGTAGTTTTGTCTCGATCGACTCCATTTTCACCCCTCCCCCTCTCGGACATCTCTAAAATAATATTAAACCGCGTCCATAAAATACCTTGAGCTGTGGGTAGCGTGAAGAGGTTCTGGCTTTTGATGTGATCGCTAATCGGAGGAATGATTCGGTAATACACGTACTGTACATTTAGACGTATTGACATTGACATTTATTCTGTAATTGGTAGCAAAATACAATTAATTTTAATATAATTAAATAGATTCACATATTTATTAAAAAGTAAATTGACAGGAAAGCTGAATTAATTTGGTAAATAGGCCTAATTAGCAGCCTATTACTATTCAGTGACGTACTTAATGACGATCAACTGTACTCACGTGGCCTCCGATGATTCAACTCAAAGCGGTATATTCACGTACATAATGTTTTATTATAATTTATAACTACTTCCGAGAGGATCCACAGTGATTGAATTTCCTAGTTATACCATCCTTTCCCCTTTCACAATAACAAATTTAAAGTCACTCAAAAATCGGTGGTGCATAGAGTCTTGGTATGGAGAGGGCTCAGCTAATGGTGTGGGGTGCGAAGGTGGAGTGGTGGCCATGTGATTAAGTGAGGGGTGCTCGGTCTCGAAAAATAGGCTTTGATATTAGATGATTTCCAACTAATTGGGAGTGAATGTTTAGCTTCGGAAATTTGCATTGGCTTGGGGGCGCCTGGGGAACACCCCATCCCCGCGCACCACATAGATACTCCACTGTCAAGAATACCCGTTGACCTACTGTGAATCTTAGGGGAGTGGAAGCTTGCCGCAGAGGTCTAACCATTATCAGGGGCGGATTTATGGGGGGCGGCCCGGCCCCGGCCCCTCCCCTTTTGGGAGGTAAAAAAAAGGAAAAAAGAAGGAAAAAAAAAAGAAAAATGAGAGAAAAAGAAAAAAATGATAGCCCAGATTGCCTTAAATGTTATGTTCGGGCGTCTAGAACACAAAAATTTAGCGGGGGCATGCCCCGGACCCCGTACGACAGTGCTGTCTCAATCGGCCCAAATTTTTTCCCCCTTCCGGCCCCCCTTTTGGACATTTCTGGATCCGCCCCTGATTATTCAGATGAGGCCAATATGGCCTCTGGATTACGGGACAAAATGAAAACTAGGTGGGTCAAGAAGATAGATTAACTACACCTTCCCCATCCAATTGACGGCGTTTGCCCTGGGAAGGCGAGTATTTTAACCCAATTGAGGTCTTCACTATTAGTCTATTCGGTGGACATCATTATATGAAGTATATACGGTAATCAACAATAGTGGTTCGCCGGCCATCTTTCCCGATTAGTGTACATCCTTAACCTTAATTAAATTAATTAAACAATCCTTCCTATCTGGTGATGAGAACAAGCGTTGACATCTAATTTTCAGCAAATCCACTCGTTCCCGTGACTATATGGGCAATTCTGGATTTGAAGGAACCGTAGCAGTTTCAATTAACTTTGTTATCACATTTTTAATCTGTTTTAACAGTTTAAATACGCATTATTATATTTGTACGTCAAACGAGTTATATATAAAAGCATCCCATTCAGAGTTAGACCTGGCATACTTAATAAGACGATTCTACTTTTCGAATACTAATTTAATGTATTAAAAGTATTCACACCTTGGTAAAGAAGTACACCTCCATCAAATAGATAAAGATGATAATAAATATTTGAGAGAAATCTACATGTCCCCATTGGGATTCGGACCCAAGACCTACCCAATACCTACCCAATGCCTCGATTTTCGCTTTATTCAAGACACTTCTATATGTAATATAAACTTTGATATGGAAAAACACCCCACATAGTGTCAAAAAACGCCCCCTCCCCCTTGGAAAGTTAAAAAAAAAGGGGAAAAAGAAAAAATTAATCGCCCAAAACGCCTCAGAGGTTATATTCGGTCGTCTATAGAAAACAAAAATGTAACACCCCTTAGAATAGTGTTGTCTCGATCAGCTCCACTTTCAGACCCCACCTTTTGGACATCTCTGGATCAAACCCTGCCATACTTACAGAGAGGGCCGTAGGGTCACATACCGAGAGTTCGCCCCTGTTCAGTGGCGTATCTTAATAGGGGAGTTGGGTTGACGACGGGAGAAACGAAGGTCAAGTAGGAGGGCTTGATAATTAAGTGAGGGGAATAGCTGGCAGAATAAGGTGAATATTAGGTGATTTAACCTATTGAGTTTTCTTTTCTTAATAAATTTCCAATTGGGAGCGTCTGAGGGTGGCGTGGGCCTGCCTCTGTCGGTACATTATCATTGATCAAGATAAGGAATCAGTTAATTAATTTTAAAAATTGCATTGTGTGGAACGATAGCTTACAACTATTGAAGACTACGTTGTCTGCGAAGAAATTCCTATATTTCTAAAGTTGAAGTTAATAGAGAACCCTCACATTAACGAAGATAGGGGCCTAGACCAGTGAACCCCGCATGGCATTTCAGATAGATTTAGAACATTTTAAAGCTAACAGAAATTTAATTTATGGCGGTATATATTTTGTGCAAAAATGCCTATCTTTTAAAATTTTATTTCAACTTTATACTTATCCACCTAAACTGGGCATGTTTAAAGCACTGGATGGATGCACAGAATTAAATCGAATAAACGTATTTCATACAGCAACCCGTTTAAGTCTTCAGGGACGGAACTCCAACATGTCTCTAAACCCTCATGTTTGCGCGCTGGCCACGTGATTAGAACCCTGCTTTAGATTTCTTATAAGTTTTGCTACTCTTAATTCCTTAAATGTGTAAATCAAAGGAATAAGAATGTCAATGAACTTACCTAAAAATAAAGGAAGTAGCAACATTACTGCTTCGATGTGTCCCGTCATGATAAGCGTCTGGTCTGGCAAAAAGTGCACCCTTCGAGGAAAGTTATTGCGTGTAAAACAGTTCGACTACATTATTGCATACTAGAACTGCATGGAGGATGTCGCAAAAACCACACTTAGTCATCCACTAATTTAGCCTCTCGGAAGAGGAAGGACGCCGAGAATAACTCAATAAACGACATGTCTCACTACAGGTCATGAAAACTTACGATAGTATGATGAGGGTCACACAGAGAAGGCGTTTGGCTCATTCATACCATGTGATTACAAGTTACACACCGACGTAGTGTGGCCTTATCTCCATAGACGGATTATAAACTTCCAAAGTTTGTTCTCGAAATTGAAATTGATAGCCAAAAAAAAAAAAAACAAAACAAAACAAAACAAAACAAACAAAGCTAAACAACAAACAAACAATCGTAGCAGTCACAGCTCATAATTCTTAAGATAGGCGTTTTGTATTTTAATAAACAAATGCATGACGATGTTTGCGTTTTATTGAGCACATAGGTACATTATTAAAGTTTGATAGTGGCATATGAAATGCTTCATAATGTTCGCTATCTACGTTCTTTAAAGCGGATCTTAATCCGGGAAAAGACCATAATAATGTTAAGTTCACTTTTGATGAGGGGATTATCGTCGGCAGCGGCAGCGACACGATTCGAAGGAGAACGCAACTTGACGAGGCACGCGCAATCGGATCGTTTTTAATGACAATATCCAATCTGTTTGCTTGTCTGCAATCTGGAGATGAACCGTCGAACGTTTCAGTGTAGGCATACATCCGGGGTTACAGTGAGCGGTTAAATGCGCTACACCTCAAACATTGCAGCATCTTAAGTGCTGTCTCTTATACACATCTAGATGTGTATAAGAGACAGATATATATGTGAGCGTTTCAGTCAGTTGTATGAAACATGGTCTAGATCTGCATGTATATTCCGAATCTCGCTAGCGACACCTTTTTTTCATACAACTGGAACAAAGGAACTTGCAATGATGAGCTATGCTTAATACGATTATTACAACGTGTAACTATTTGAGCACTGTTATTATTTATCCATTTGTTTCTATTGTGTTTACGGTGCCACGGTGCTATACAGTATTGCATTATTCCGCTTCCTGTTTCTGGGTTTTTCCCCATATATGCCGCGCCTTTAAATCAATTTCATTTTAATTAATAGCAGAGAGACGGAAGTTTGAAAGTAGTTAGCGTTGGCAATACATGTGCACCTAGAATTTGATTTTGTACATTTGAAATCGAAGACAAAAATTATATTTTGATTATATTTTTTGATCCTTATTATAATTTGCCTTTTTAGTTATAGCATATTTAATGCATATCGACATTATATTTTTTTTTTCTATGAACTGTTTTGATAAATAAGCCATAATCATAAATGTTCTTACCTCAGGCCCAACCATGGTGGGGCTGAGGTGTCATGGACTCTCAAACCGTAAAATTCCTTCCCTTGCCCCCTCTATATAAAATTCCTAAACCCGCCACTGACAGTGGGGGATTCAAGAAGCCCAACTGAATCTAGATCCCCCTCGATTTTTAAAAATAAAAACAAATAATAAAAAAAATTGGGAAAAAAGAAAATGATATTCACGTTGTATGAGACTGGAATTCCTGACCATTTTGAAGGTGCCATGGTCATAAATTTTCTTTGGAGATGGAGGAAATACCTCCTCAGCCCCACCATGGTTGAGGCTGAGGAGGTATTTCCTCCATCTGTGAAAGTCCCTTCCTGACCCCTCTTCAAATTTCTAGATCAGCCACTGAAAACCGTATATGCATCTTCAGAAATCGATTAACTAAGACCTAAAATTATCAAAAATGCCTGAGCTCCACTCCCTCGATCCCAGCAGGATTCCCTCCCCCTAAGCGGCCCCATCAAATTTTGGTGTAAGCTCTACAAATTCGCACCCACCCAATAAAAATCCTGCGTACGTGCCTGTTAACTGTGTAGGCTTAGGCCTAGATCTGATCTTACATAAGCCCTGACAGTCCTCAAAAGGCGGTCATATTGACAGTGTAGGCCTCTATTTAAAGATATTGTGAGACTGACAGGCTTGTATCATGCTTTCGATCAATATTGTATTTTTAAATAACTACTCCAACAAAAGAAAAAAATAGACTATTTTGATTATGATCATTTTTATATCACACTTTGTGCTACTGATCATTACGAGCCTAAAACAGTTAATAATTTGGTATAAAAAAATACATATATTCAAATAACAATATTTCACATTTTCACAAAAAGGAATAATATTTAATATCAATCCCCAAAATGAAGACAGTAAAAGAAGGAATGTGACTGAATTGATTAATCTTGGCGATCTGATAGATTGATGACTTAATAGTTATTTGTTTTATTTAACCATCTTTTATGGGTGTAGAAATAATATTTAAAAAAAAAAACAGAACTCTCAATATTTGTTTGGCTGCTATGCAACATGTGATCTCGTATACATATAATATAATGAGTACTTTGCATTTTGTTTAAAAACATACTGCCAAGAAAAAAAATACAAATGGACTTTCATAGCTTATTTAAGTACGAAGAAGTATCCTCAAACTAACAAGGATAAATCCCTGAGGAGAAAAAGAAGGCGAAAAGACCAGTGTCACTCCTCCGTTGTCTGGCAATTTGAGGGCCGACAGCTAGAGCATGATTTACTGGCCTCGAGTGACACTGACATTTGGGCTCTACTATTCTAAAAAATAAAAAAAAATGGAATCCGAATTATAAATACAGTAACAAATGTTTGTTGAACATTTCAGATAGATCACATTTATTTACAATGATCCATTTTATTATGTCTGCGTTTGTTTAATAAACATTGCTAGCCCCTATAACATTTCTATTCAGCCTAATTTGAAAAGGTGATTGATTTATTTAAACATATATAAAAGCATGTTGAAATAATTGTTGGATTACAGGCTGTGGCTTCAGGCTGAGTGATCCAGTCTACTGTGGTTGATAATCAAACTGTTGATTTCTGCGCTTGCGCCGTACAACACAGACAACTGTGACGACAATTGGCACAATAATGACAAGTGCCACAGCGATAATGATGAGAATCATGACAGCTTCACCCGATATTCCTCCACCAGTCGAACACACTTCCACTGTGAAGCAGATAATAAAGAGAGAAAACAAAAGTAATATTTTAGATTCTTGAGAAAAAATTTTCTTAAAGCCAAACTCCAGAGGAAATTTTGATTTTGACAAAAACTCGTAAGTGGTTAATGAGATACAAATTTTTGAATATTTAAAAATTAAAAACTTAGGGAAAAAAGGGGCGTAACCACCCTTTTTCACATTTTCCCCGAAGTTTTTAAAATATTCAAAAGTCTGTATCTCATTAACCGCTTCCAAGTTTTCCGTCAAATATGCATTTTGTGTCTTAAAAAAATATTTTAAAAAAGGTTTTTCCTCCGGGGCCTGGTTTTAAAGTTACTAATAAGTCTAGTTCACACTGCTGATTAATAGAGTCACGGGGCAATATACATATCTGTGATACCTTATTTAATATTTACATTATTTCGTTCCTATTGTATAAATATTTTAAATATTATAACAATAATATTTGTTCAAATTTCGTTTTGTAGTACAGTACAAGTGCACTTTTTATGTAAATAATAATCTTCTATTGTTTAAAGAATCTATGAGGAAGTTCATATATCATTTCTATTCTCACAATATTATATATTTATATATATATATACAGTATATATATAAACCTGATGAAGCCTATATAGATTGCTGTCGAAAGTTTGTGTATTAAATAATTGAAGACAATTAGTCTCGAATGTGCTACCGTAACCAGTGTTTTAATTTCATTATTCTTTCAAAGAATTTTGAGAAGCGAAATCCCTTGTTTGTTCATAAAGTGGAAAGAGCTTTTGAATTTTGATACCCAGCTCTTTCTCCTATTGAAAGTTTGGAGGGATATAGTCTAATTATTTCAATATTTTACAGCAAACATGTTTTTGTTTTCCTCCTAAACGACAAAGTAAAATATTTAGCATTAGTACTCAAATTTTACATAACATCTCAGTTTGCCGCCCATAGAAAAGGTTTTAGGGTAATACTTAATTGTCAAACCTCAATGATAAAATGGGTTCTTGTGCTACTCAAGTGGTATGAAATCATACAAACATAATATTAAACCGATTTTAAAGATTTAATGTGCCTGAAACCTTTGCAATAAAATTAACACGGCATGTATTTGAGATGCCAGTTACCAATTCCAATATTCAATGCTTCTCAAAATACGATTCATTCAAATATGCATGTGGTTCTATCACGATGGATCCTTCAAACTCAAGTATAGGCCATGGTTTCTTTAATCTTTCAAAAAACCATAGTCCAGATATCGACTTGGCACACGCAGCGGACGACCATATCCAAAAGTTAAATTGGACGAAAGAATGTGTAGACCATTATGAGGAGTTCAGGTGAGGGGTTTGAGGGATGATTCACTTTCTTTTGCTGGGCATTTGCATCGTAATGAAACTTCTTATATCGTAATTAAAATATTTTCGCATTGAGTTTGTACTTATTTTGTCTACGCAGCTTTCTTAAAAAGTAGATTATACTCTCAACAGTTGCTATGCTTTCTAAAAAAACTTACTTTTACCGTAACCTTTATCTGGAACATCTTGCACATAAGGTTGGAATTTGACATCACTCATGTCAAGAGTTATTCCAAAGATGTCAAAAGATGTTTTGTTGCAACCATAGTAATTGCCAACGTGCGTGGTTGGTAGGTCGCTGTCACTTATAGATGAAGAGGAAAACCCACCTATAAAAAGAATTTTGAGCAAACATAAGAAAAATAGTAGGCCCAACCACATTATATTGGGTTCCCTTGGAAGCGAGCAAAGCGAACGTTAAGTTTCCGAGCGAAGCGAACCAACAGACGCTGCGGGCCAGGGACCACGTAGATATAGTCCAAAGTAGGCCTATGTACTCTATGTAGGTGTAAATAAGTACAAAGAATATTTAGTGAGAAACGTACAAAAACATAATAAGGATATCACAAGCCAAATCAAAAGACACCACGCTTGTGTCACGCGCGACATTGATCAAGTGTGGTTCTCTCAAGACAAACTGCAACTGCAAAAAAAAAAACAAAAAACAACCCTGCAGCGATCGTTTACATGAGCCTTGAGATAATGCGGTTTTTGTATGATGATGCCAGGCCAGTGTATTTCTATGTTTAAAACTGCAAGTACCCCATTGAATGAAACTATGGTATTATAGTTTATATTATATCTTTTTAACTGTCGGAGCTGGGCCCTGGCGCTGCGCTCCGCCCCGTCAGCGCCCGAGTGTGACGCCACTGTATCTGGACCATGAAGGGGGCATTGCGTCCTCCTGGCCCCCTCGCCGAAGTTTACTACTAGTAGATCCAATCATTCGAACTTACTATAATATGTCAATTAAGTTGGGCAAACATGCTCTGACGGTCGTCGGCCGACACAATCCCATAAAGACAAGCGACAAGGCAAGCGCAACGGATCGATTTTAATGACGATGTGCTCAGACCGCCACCGGCAAACAGCAGACGGCGTCGCATCGTCAAGCGCTCACTCAAAGCGAAGATGGTGCCACAATGTGTGCCCGGCGTTTCACAATTTATATATGATTTTTACCAATTTTACCTGACTTGGCATAGTTGTTAAGTTTGTGGATGTTTAAAATGTAATAGTATGTTGTAAATTCAAACAGCATTCAATAAGGCTACGCATTCAAGAGAATCTTATAATCCAACTAATGGCACAAGCGTTTATGATGAGTTAAAGGTGAAAGCGTGTTGCCTTAAATGACTTTAGAGCTCCCTTCGTGACGATGTGGGAGAAAGGCTCACCGATTAATCTCAAATAAGATACCTGTAGTATAATACATACTCCATGTATCGAAATGCACGCCATCGTGTAGGGATTCAATATTTCGACATTAATGATGTCATCATCAGGAATTTAAGGTTTTTACCAATTTTACTAGACTTGGATTAGTTGCTTCAATTTCGGGATTCAATATTCCGACTGTTTGAATTTACAACTTACTGTTACATTTTCAACATCCACAAACTTTACAACTCATAGTTATCAACCTGAGAGATATAAAACGCGTGACTACACCAGTTTAGTGTAGGGGTGCAAGGGCCCCGGGTTTCTAGCTGTCTCTTATACACATCTAGATGTGTATAAGAGACAGATATTTATGGAGATTTCAGGGGAGCAGATGGTGTAATAAAATAAAATAAGAAAAATTATTTTCTTTCTGAAATTTCCATTCTAATAAAGAAAGTGGACCACACTAAGTCATAAGTACTCCCCCTGTGAACCTTACAGGGAGTTGACGAATGCTCGGACCCCTTTTCGACAAATTTCTGGCGCCACCGCTGCACACAGAGCGTGGACGAATTCATCTGCGCCAGGCGGCTTGAAATTGCAAATACAATCAATTCCTAGATCCTCAATCTAGAGTTGGATAACTTACCGCCAGCAGCACCTGGGAAGTGCACATTATCATAAGTGTATCCGACACCTATCGTATCTAATTTATACTTCGAACCAGATTTCTTGTAATCAAACCATAGTGACCAACCATTCGAGAAAAACTTCAACTTAAATGATACCGAGGGTCCGTCACACTTGGAGTAGTGAGAGGGATCAGCAGTAGTGGGGACGTCAACGATGGCATTAGTATTCTGGGTAAAGAAAGAAACATTGTGCTACTGTACTTGTAGGTTTGAGACAATCATGTGGTAAATAAATTGGGCTACGTCACAAGAATAATGAGTTATGCGTACGTATGGGTGTATGTATGTTTGCGGTTGTGGGTGGGTTTTGCATGTAGATACTTGGACAGTGGCGAATATTTTTGAAAAGTATCATGGGCGAAACTAGGGGCGGAGCATGTTGAATGGGAATGACTACACCATAAATTGGTAATGTCTGAAGTAATTACTTTGCCATTCACTTCCATTAATCTACTGTTATTGTTTCACGTACAAAAGGGGGTGCTGAGGTTCCGTGTGCACCACCGGACAGGTCTAGACCCCCCCCCCCTTCCCGCCGGACAGAGCTCGTCGGGCTGTCAGACCATAAAACCTATAAAATAGGCCCACACCAAGCCAACACATGTCTGTCACAGTCTGAGAGGGCCAATTTCGGCCATCTAGAGGTTGATATTCTTTTTAAAAAAATCTCATTTTGGAGGGGGAACCCCTTTCCAACTCTTTCCCCCAGGTCGAGCCTACGAGCTCAAGTCCTATACCATAGAATCTCTCCATATAAACCCCACTGGAGATTTATTCCGGGAGCTGATCAAGGGTTTATGGTGGGCCCATGGTTATGACCCCACCCTACTTGGTCCCCCTCTCATGTCGGCATTTTCTGGAACCAGGCCCGGACTGGCCGTATGTTGTCCTTTATGCTGATGAATTAAGTACAGCAGTACAGTACTGATATACCTCTCCACTATTTGTGACGTATGGAATGGTAATGGTAGCTGCCATCTGCATCTTCATACAAGGATTGCCATTAGTGTCACTGACGGTCCACTCCCCAACCGGCGCTTTACCCTCAACAATCACCAGTAAAATACCTATATAACGAAAATCGCAGAAGTTTGATAGTACAGTAATATTTTATGTGAAATGGGATTAAGTAAACTTAAGCCTACTCTATGGCCGCATTCATTGCACTGACCTTTACTCTTTAGGCCTAGTGGATAATATTTACATTTCCACACAATCGGTAATGCTCGCATGCTTGCTACGCCGTTCTGAATCACCTAAGCAACTGAGTGAAATTGACTGTGGTCAAAATGGACTATGGTTCAGTGTTCGGCTAATTAATAAGTCATAAAATAATAGGCCTAGTCTTAGTTATTCTAAATTATTATACGTTTCTTTATAAATCAATTACGGTAGGCCTACATAAAATAACAACACGAATCTTTTATGAGGACTCATGTCATAAAACGAATTTGTTAGCATGAGCGATTATAGCAAAATCACAGATATTGCAAGGAAATATTGTCATTCGAGATATATATCTCATTTTCCAATGTCTTAAAAGAATCGTGGTGGTAATAGTGAAATGGTTCTCTTTGAGAAATTGCCTTACGCAAGCTACAATTTGAAAGTATTTTTTTAAACTGAAAGAATTCTAATATTGATCTTAACCATTTTAAACATCAATTTAAATTTAAATAAGGTAATTCTTTCGCATCAACAGAACATTTTCATGACAATTGGCGAATCCGGGAATTAAATAGGACCAGAGCAGGGGCGTATCATGAATTTTTGAAACGAGGGTGCACCAATTTCACACTAGGACAAGATTTAATATAATAATTATTATACACAGGGGCGGAACTTGGTTGAAAGGGGGGGGGGGTAGGGGTCAAATTTCCAAACCCAAAAAAGAAAGTCGGGGGAGGGGTAGGGGTCCGTTAAAATGTTGATTCCTAGAGGCGGGATATGAGCTTTCCCGACTTCTGAAGTGTCTTTTAATGACTTTTAAGTTCTTTAAAATTCAAGGTTTTATGCCCTCTGAAAAACGGTCAGGTAAATTGTTCTCATTTAGTAAATAGGACTATTATGTGTGTACCGGTATAGGTATACATACAGAAAATAAAAATGGGTATAGTTGCATACGTATTCTTTTTTCCATGAATCGATGAGACCCCTAGAAAAGGGAGCCCGGAGTACTCCCCCAGGAAAATTTTGATTCCTAATGGTGGTGAGCTTGTCCTGTTTACGCATCTTTGTACCAAGCTACGATGCAAAAGAATGCTTTTGAAAGCAATTGAAATTTTCTTTGATATAAATTTCAACCGTGTTGTTCACTTTATATTAGTGACCTCAGGTCAACAGTATTGTGTCAAAGTTTATGAATGCATTTCAGATGTGCTTCATTGCATACATGACGTTTAGTGTTTTCTTTTTGTCAGTACAGTAGTACCCATAATTTGCTGGTTTGGCTGAATAATTATGTTCGGTCAGTATTCTACAGGTTCACAACAAGCAAAATGCGTTGAGACTGGTTCCATTTCTCAAAAATCGTGCTCTATAACACATTCAATTGACATTTTTTGGGTAGAAGCTGGGATCCACTTGATTTAGGGTATTTTGACCATGCTGATATTACGAATCTGGTGGATCCCAAGCGAAATTCTTTCATCTAAGGGTCAAAATGGCTGATCTTATGCAAAATTATCCATTTTTGGGACATAAGGATTCTTCTTGCAACATTTTCGTTTAAGAGCGAGAATTAGCGTAGCAAATTAGTGTTTCACGCTGTATTTCGCACCGACATCAGCTGTTTTTGGGTCAAAGTTTCATCTTTCCACAGTTGTCTCAGCAAATACTAGTCGGGTTTTTGTGTTCCCTTCGGTATTTGAAAGGCAATTCTTTTCTGATTGCCTTACTATTTGTTTCAACGGTTTTGCTTGAAAAAAGTCATCGTCATCTTTCACTTTCCGATTGGTGCTAATGCTATGCTGACCGCCCACCTCGTAGAGGCTTTTACCTCTTTTTTAGTGACTTGGTTGGTTTTAAATTGCCATTTCGGCTGTTCACCAATCAAATATCTTGTTGTTCCCCCGGTAAAAAGGAAAACTGAATATTCATAAATTCCTCTAATATAAAATATATTCCCATTGGATGAAAAAAAATCACCGTCAAAACACTAATCAATATGAATGAACAATCCTGTCTAGGCATTATGCCCGCGAAAATGGCGAAGCTTTGGTTTATAGCCTTCCGCCATTGTTAATATGAATGTGCGTTGTACTGTTGTTTTATCTTTTGCCTTAAATTGGCCAATTCCCTTTAGGTACTTCATTTTCACCTTCTACATACTCATTAAGTAATATGGTGTCAACATTTACTGAGTGTTATTGTTTGATTTAATGTGAATTTAAAGGCACAAAAAGATCTAAAACATACGGTTGTAGGTTTCTCTGCCTGCTGGTAAGAAGCAGGGACGCACCATTATTGAGCTGAGGTCTGGGATAGCCGGATTCATGCTGGCTAGGAAAAGTGCGTCGTAAAATAATGAGCATTATAGCCTAAATTGTAAAATTGTTAAACTAGTACAGTAATACTGTTAACAATAATATTTAAGACTCAAACAAAGCATAAAACCAAAGGTAGGCTTATAAGCAGGCGCGTAACAGGGGTCTTGGGTCGGGGGGGGGGGGTGGGGCAAAGGTAATAAGTTTGCCGGTTAGTAATTTACCCACCATATAGAAAACAATACGACATAGGGCTTATCTTATTTATAATATAGGCCACACACGTGTGTTTGAAACTAAATATAAGCATTTTCATCATGGTTTTATTTATTACAAACATATTCACCATCACCATCAATACACATTAAGGCCCTTCTTTTAGGTAAAACGATCTATCTTAAATGTTCTTTCTATTGGAGTTGAGCCTATTATGTGTTTAAATAACTTAGAAGGCATAGGAGGGCAAGCACAAGCATTAACCTTAACAAATGCGCGCAAAGCGCGCAAACAATTTTTGTGTTTTTAATTCTAATTTCGTCGGAATTGATCAAAACCCCTAAAATGTGCAATTTTTAGAGGAAATTGGCCTACCTCAACAAGAAATGCGCTTATGTTATATATGGCCACACTCGTTTTTTTGAAACTGACTGTAAGCATTTTCATTATGGCTTTATTTATTACAAACATATTCTTTCACCATCATTACACATTGAGGCCCTTCTTTTAGGTAAAACGATCTATCTTAATTTTCTTTCCTGAGTTTGGGACTATTATGTGTTTAAATAACTTAGAAGGCAAAGAAGGGCAAGCACAAGCTTTACCCTTAAAAAATGCGCGCGAAGCGCGTGAAAGATTTGTGTTTTTAATTCTAATTTCGTCGAAATTGAGCAAAACTCCCTAAAATGTGCAATTTTTTGAGGAAATTGGCCTACCCCAACAAAAAACCAAAATTGAGAGTTTCAGGCACTTTCCGGGGTGATAAGGACATCTTCAATGGGGAAAGATTTTCCATAGATGGATATTTTCCCCTTGTCCAGCGGTGGTTACACCAATGCGGAGAATATCTGGCGGCTTAGATCAAATGCGATATGGACACTTTTTGAAGTGGAGAAGGGGTTGCCGGGTATTGTGATATCTGTTCATTATATCTTCCTTTTTATTTTTGTCTATATTTTTCTCTTCTCTTTTTCTTTTCCTTTTTCTTTCCTTTTCTTTCCCATTCTTTCTCTTTTCCCTCCCTCTCCCCTCTTTCTTTTCTCTTCTTACCCAGCCCGGTACTACGGCTTGGTCAGCCCGGTAAAATTCGTCGGGGGGGGGGGGCAGCCTGTTACGCCACTGAATTACCCTCATAAAATGAGCGAGTCTAAATGGTAATCAAGGCTTCTGGAGGTCACTTCGCTGCAGTGAATATGAGCCGATTAAATTTAAGTGTTTCGGTGCAAAAATGTGGCCTAAGAATTCATATGAAGAAAAAAATCTGTATTTCGGTTACTATTAGTCATATTGGCCCGTATTCTCAAAAGTTGACTAAGTTAGTCCAGTACTAACTGCACTCCTGGACTAGTTAGTCCGACTAGAGTTAGTCCTGGTTTCGTATTCTCCAAACCTAAGTAAGTAGCCCAGAGCTAGACCCTGGACTAATATGTAAATTATGGAATATGTGAGGTCAAAAGAATATTCTCCACGGCAACGCCTAATAAATAATACTGCTCATGCTCAGTTCGTCTGTTTGAACTGTTTCTCAGGCAAATAGGTGATATACACAGCCAAATTATGTTTTTATCTCATTTATAGTGTTTTGATTGTAATATCAGAATTGTGTCCAACACACTTGCATAGTAAAATTGTTTTGGGGTGAATAATTAATTCTGACAACTTTAAAATGGTTTTGAAAATTCAATATATTTTGCTAAAGTTAAAAGGTACATGGTACTCCAACAGCTGAATCCTGGCCGATGACATGTGTAGCCTAGAATTCATTCAGCTTATATGCTTACATTTTTCAGAGTACAATAATTATATGAGTATTGAATAAGGAAAACCATTAAAAACAGGAATGAAATGGGAAGTGGATCATAATATATATTCAAATTTCATTATGTAATTATTTTTTCAGTACTATCTATAGTAATTGTAAAACCATTGATTTAAAAACAATGAAGCAGTATGTATATTCAGCTAAAATATAATGTTACATTTATCATACAGTAAATTTATGATTGTTCAATTGGCTCTTGTCCTTTCTTCTATTTTAAGAAAACATATGGCCGTCATTGATCAGTTGACATACCATTGCCAGGTATGACCATGGGAGAGATCTTACTTTAAAGAAGTGCTCCTCAATTATTCATATATTCATTTTATTTTATTTCACATTTATTTGTGTGTATGTTTGTTTATATTACTTACTTACTTATTCATTTATTATACATAATATTAATCGAAAATAGATTTGCAAAACAGAATAAATGTTAGTCGTTGACTACAATAATCGTCTAACATTGAAAAAGGAACGCAGGCGCGTTCGAAATATTTGTTTAATAACATTTTATGTTTAAGAGTCAACGACTAACATCGATTTATTCTGTGTTGTAAATCTATTTTCAAATATCTATGTGGAACTTTCGTGGCACCATACTTTACGCCGTATCATCTATCTTATATATATATATATATATATATAAAAACATATATTGCCTTGGTTTGGCTCTGTAATCATTAGTGGTAGTGGGACTGGTTTGGGCCCTTCCTAAGCTGGTCAAACGTTTCTTTTGGGTCTATACCCCAGCTGCACTGATGAGTCCTGGAAGGCCGAATCGGATCCGTCTCCAGAACCTGTCTCTTATACACATCTAGATGTGTATAAGAGACAGATATATATATATATATATATAATTCAACTCTCCTGTACAAATATTAGGAGACTTACCGAGTTTTCAGGATTTTTTCAAAATTATACCAAAACCGACATTTTTAAAGTTAATCTAATTATATATTTATGCATTACTTATTAGTTAGAATCTATTTTTAAATATTTATTATCTGTCATTATTGTCATTTTAGTTATTTGTCACCATTGAATAAGTGGAAACGTTCGATGGCTCTGAAAACAAGAAAATTATTTAAAAACTTTTTTTTTTGGCCAAAAACGTGTGTTCTTGGTATATTTTTTTCCCTGGTATTTTTTTAGGAAAATATCCTGTTATAGCGAATAGAAATATGAGTCTTCCGAACAGTTTGATACCAAAATAAACTCTGTATGACTTATAGTAACCGAAATACAGATTTTTTTTCTCAAAAATGAATAATTTTGCATAAAATCGGCCATTTTGACCCTTGGGTCTTTCACTTGGGATCCACCAGATTCGTAATCTGCATGGTCAAAATACCCAAAATCAACTGGATGCCAGCCTTACCTAAAAATGCCTATTGCATCATCATTTTTGGGATATGGAACCTGTCTATATGGCTCAGGGCTGAACCTGGATTGTCATGGTAGGAGGGGGAAAGGGGTGGGGGATGGTGCGTAGATATGCACAAATTGACCAAATTTGTTACATTATGTAGGCCTATATAGGGGGAAGTTGGATTGCAAATTTGGTATACGGTTCTAAGGTCTTTATAATCAGTCAACCGTCGTTCTTGGAGTTGTAAATAGTTATAATAGTTATAGAAACATTTGTTTCTGGTATGGTATACTATTATCTCACCACCAAGTCTCATTTTCATTTTGAAGATAATTGTGTGACTTTGACCCTAATTTACCGACAGACTCTATACCACCCCAACATTTACATTTGAAAGTTTCAATTTCCGTACCTATACATACTGAATAATCATTATTATTTTCATTATTGTAGTATTAATTATACGACATTTCCGAAATGAACTGATTTGCCCTTTCGACGTTCCATATACTCGAAAATAAAATAACGGTCAAGTAGTAACTGTACTGTATACATGGCGCTAGTGAAATTGTATACAGTAGTAGCTTTGATTTTGGATGTAGTGTGCAAAAGTGCACTAGCGCCGTAGACATACTGTATTGATATGTTATATAGTGGAATAGAGGGTACTCACCAAGAAAGACAAACAATCTATGAAGCTTCCTGATACTGACCTCCATGACGAGAACTGTAAAACAAATAATGGTATTTGTAAAGAAAAAAAAGTAGAAATTATCTAAATATCACATTGAATTGCGAAAGAACCTTGCGTAGCTTACTGCTGACTACTCCAATCCTATCCAATCCGCCGTCAATAATGTAAATAATCCTGAGTTGATCTTTTCGAGAGATAACAGAAGGAACCCGTATGCGTGTATTGGTTTAGGTTGTTCACGTGAGCTCCTTTGGAGGTCACTAAGCCACATCTCTGCCATACCGTTTTTCACCATTCAGTTCCCCAGAACAAACGCAGTGTAGTCCTGTACACAAAATAAGGATCCATTCGCAATGGATGACGTTCAGTGTTCAGAAAATACGGATATAAATTAAAATTCCATATTAATTGACTTGAATGGAACGAATAAATTTCTCTTACCTTATCTAATTCTAATAAACCGGGAAAAGAGACAGGAAGGGAAGATTTTAATTTTTATCAATTTGAACATTTTTGTTTTGTTTTGTTTTTGGATTCGTTATTTAAACTTGTATTTGTGTAGTGTTTTGAATTTATCGTATTGATTTTTGAGAATTTGTTATTCTTCAATTTTGTTCACGAAACTGCAAATAAAGCAAAATATTTGAATCTGAAGGGGAAAAAATAAATATAGGCCTATCATATATCTCATCTTACTCACACTGTCACACTTTTTGAATTCTATTCCCTTTGTTTCTTTCATTATTAAATCCGACCCGTTCCTGCTTCGAAGGCCACTCTCGCGAACCATTACCGACTGATGGTATAACGTTAGCGCATACTGTAACTCAATGTATAAAAGATCAGCTGCAAGCTATGCATTATTTTCATTGATCATTTACATTTCTTTTCAACATTAAATCAATCAATCAATCAATAAGGCCCCATAAAAAATATATTAGTTCATCGCCCCCTCCCTCACTCTTGGCGAAATTCTGATTTTTGTTTTCAATCAACATTGTTTTTATTTCAAAACGGTCGTTTTTGAATCTGTTTTCACTTGTAAAGCTCAGGATTTCTTGCAAATGTGTTTACTGATACAACAAAAAACATATTTATTTTAAAATAGGGCCTATTAAGTTAATTCCATTCTTATGACTTTATATACGTGTCCCTAACCAATGATTTACTTGTGAACATGAGTTAAAAAAAAAAAAAAAGAAAGAAAGAAACCTCCCTCCCTCATTTTTATTCTTTGATAGGATGATAAACTATAAATAATAAGTTTTTTTTTGGCCTAAATGGTGCATATCGTATAATTTAATCGGAAATAAAGCAGAACCTAAATAATAGCCAACGAAAGAAGAGGACTAAAACCTCAAAAAATTGGACACGACACCGTTGCCCATCAACCGCCATTATAATTTGGGGATTTAACGGCGAAATAAGGAACGGATGTGTACGGTAATTTTTAACTATCTGAAAAGTGTAATACTTTTGCTCAGATTTCGAGTTTGAGCGCCTTGGAGGTGGGGTGGGGGATGAGAGGTGGGCTGAGGAAGGAAGTTCACCCCTCCCTTGGGAGAGAGAGTGCACTGGGCTTAAGACACGCTTCGTTAAATAAGTAAGTTTAAAGCTTTGTTATACCATAGAGAAAATAGAACAGTTCTATTTTCTCTATGGTTATACAACATATCAAAATCGTTTCCTCCGAAGCCTCCATAATATCACTAAAATCTATCGCGTCGCGCGCCAATCATGATACAGTACGGTACTCCTCAAAGAAGTTCTTGAAAAAATTTCCGAATCGTTCTCATGAAACGACAGTTACTGACCATCATAGAATATTCAAAACAATGTAAATATATTCCAACTGAAAGAAGTCGTCAAGCGTTAGTGTCATGTTTCTTTTTTGTTTATTTGTTCTGTCATCAGTCATCTGCGTGTACTTGTTACCAAATATTTTAAGGATAGTTAATTGGATTGGTCCCCTAATTTTGGGCGGCAATGTGATTTCATAAGTCAAAAAGAAGCCTGGAAATTTTTTGAAACGAACTGCATAAATGACCCAGGTTTTAAAGAGGGCCCTGTACAGCCAGAATACATCTTCTTATAGCAAAATACCGGTATCTCAGTGGGTGTACGGTAAGAATGGCCCCGGAAAAAATGGCCCCGGCAAAAATGGCCCCGGAAATAATGGCCCCGGTAAAAATGGCCCCATATGACAGGTAGGTAAAAATGGCTCCAATAATCAAATTCTGAATTAAAACTGATTTTCTTGAGTCATTATATGCATTTTTTTTATCTTAACTAATTTAGTTTTTAAAAGGAATCGCCCCAATAATCAAATTCTGTAACACACAATTGATCCACATGCTTTAA